TCTATTCCGATGAGAAAAAGAGGACTATTTCTTGCTGGGTTTAAAAAAAAAAAAAAAAAAAAACACATACCCTACACCTAAGATAACAAGCTGCACAAAATCCCCAAATCATTTGGGGCTCCTGTTCACAGTGTCCGTGGGGCTGCCCTCCACAAGGAGAGGGGGTTTCTCCAGCCGGACCCTGGGATGCTTCCAGCCAACGATGCTTTTCAGGGACGGCCACTAACACCTGGTACAACCTGCACAGTGCCCACACGCCCCTGGCTAATTCCCAAAAGCTCCGTGACAAAAGGATGCTACTCTAGGAGGACACTTCGGAAAAGGGGCTCTTTCTTTTGCAGAGCAAACCAGCACCAGCCCCTTTTAGGCTGCCACTGCCTCCTGCAAAAGCACCAAATGCAGCCCTCATCTGGAGTCCCATTCCTTGGCGCAGCAGGGAAACTAAGAGAGCACGTGCCAGCACGGGAGCAGAGAAATCCTCCTACTCCACTCTCAGACCCCCCAAACCAGGTGCCATCGCAGCGCAGGGCACTGCCAGGCTCCGCTCCCACCTGCCCAGCAGCCTTAAAGCCAAAGCATGGGAGAGGCAAACCCCACACCTTTCCCCACTTTCCTAGTCCTCCAAAAAGTGACTTATCCTATCCCTAATCTCTTCTGCACCTCTTCAAGCAAAACCAACACCACAACCACACAGTTTCTTACAGCTCTTAACTCTCCTTAAAAATTTTCACATTTTAAGTTGCTTGAACTAACAAAATTCGTCATTAATGAGACAACCAAAGGCCTTGCCAGAAGCAAAGGGGGAGAGAAGCCCAAACTAGGGCTGTTCCCTTCCCAGGAGGGCAGCTCCAAGCCAGCAGTAAGAAAAAAGGCATTTCCTAACGTTCTCTTCCCGCTCCCTTGCTTTAGGCTTTTGCCCCACCACACTTCCCAAGCGGGAAAAGAGAACCAGGGGCAGGGCAGGGATTAATGGAAACATGGGAAGGGTGAAGGGGCTCACAGCACAGACAACTGCAGCACCAGAGCCCTAAAGAAGCAACAGCAAGTGAGGAACCGGACCTGGGAAACTCTGCAAACAAGAACCAGGTACCTGCAACTTGAAAAAACACCCATAGGGAACTCACCTTCTCGTCCTTGAACGGTCACAGCCTCTGCAGGGATAGATCCGTGTGTAATTACCAGGAAGAAAACAGAGCCAATGCTGCTTCGCCTCTTATCACCCAAAAATCCGGGGGAATCACCCGTAAATGGGGAACTCGGATCACCTGGTGCCCCTCAGCAGATCACCCCAAATGGGGAACTCGGATCACCTGGTGCCCCTCAGCAGATCACCCCAAATGGGGAACTCGGATCACCTGGTGCCCCTCAGCAGATCACCCCAAATGGGGACTCGGATCACCTGGTGCCCCTCAGCAGGACGAACCCCTCCAGTGCCCGGGGCCGAGGGCAGGCGGGGCACGGGGGGCTCAGGTGTTGCTCATCCAGCATTTACTCTCGCAGTGTCCTGGGAGGGGTCCCAGCGCCCACATCAGGCTGTCACAGCACTTCAGCTGGGTCTAGCGCTGGGTAAAGCCTTTCCTAGAGGTTTCCTTCCAGATGTGCACTTTCGAGAGGAAAAATCATTACGATCGCAAGCGATCGAACTCCTGAGGGATGTGGGGATCTCTGCAAGGTCCCCCCTGCCCCACTGACCTGCTCATGGAAAGGAGGAAAGGCCTCGTGATGAACAGCCACGAGTGGAGCAGCCACCTGGGGCAAGGACGGACATTTCCATCCCAGGCGCATCGTTGTTTGTCCCAGCTCCTGGTGTTCTGAATCGTACAAGGAGAAGTCACCACACCTGCCCACCCAAGGGCTCCTTCGTGGAGTGGGACTTTGGCTTTCTAAGTAAAAATAACTCGAGATCAAACTCCGGGGAGAAAAACAAACAAAAACACACAAAAACAAACAAACAAAAAGGTAGAAGGGAAAGAGAATGGGCTGAAACAAAAGGAAAAAAACGCCAAGAAAAACGATTTGGAGAGCAATGAAAATCTAGGCATCAGCCATTAAGACTGGATGGGCCAAGCCCCGGTGAAAGCCTGAGGAGAGGTTAAGGGCTGGGTCCTATTCTGTCCTCTCCGCAGGAGTGATTGGAGCTGTGAACAGGCCGGGAGATTAGCGGGAGATGGGAATCATGCAAACGAGCCTGCGGCCACCAAAGCTATTATCGCCACTCGGCACAAAGTTTGGGAAGTTACACCCATCATTGTTCTAACTAACGGTGCACTCAGGCGGCTCCATCCCAAATGCAGCCCCTCAGCTCCCGAAAAGCCTCTTAGGCAGCAAGGGGATGACGGGCACGGAGAAATGCTAAAATGTTTCGGGCCAGCCTGACATTTGGGGCCTCGGTGTGGTCTTTTCCAAGCCCGATGAATGCCTGTGCTGGAGTGGTGTCTCCCCATGTTAACCTGAAAACACGCAGCGGGGAACAGCCCCTCCTCTGCCATTGGGGTGGGTTGGAGGGTCACGAGTGTGGACACACATGGCCCCAAAACCTCCCCAGTCCTTACAGTGTCCTTTCTGGCCCACCCAGAGCCCTAAAGCAGGGGCCTGCCCTGAGCCACCATTTCATTTTAGACTTTCAAAGCCATCCCAGCTCAGTCACCGCCACAAAGCTCTCAATTCCGGGATGTCTCTGACCTGCCGATGACATCCCACCCCCCTGCAGGGATGTCCCGCTCCACCGGCTAACAGGGATAACAGGGATAGCCCCAGGTCCCGGCCCCCTTCTTTGGCTGCCAGAAGCACCCGCACTCCCAGAGCGGGGCTGAGCTCAGGGAGGGCAGGGCTGGCAGCGGGTGATGTGCCGACAGCTCAGCGGGGTGATGGATGGCCCAGGTGCCGCAGCCGGCCCCGAGAACCGGCTGCCTCATCCCAACCTGTAATTTCCAAGGCGGTGTTTCCAGCCCGTGCCCCACAAGTGATGGGAAGAGGGGGCAGGAATGGGGGCAGAGCCGAGCAAACCAGATGGCTCTGTCCTTGAGTGCAGCTGCACCAGGAGAGGTCGGAGCCTGAATGAGTCGGGCAGAGTCCCCACTAATTAACACTGACACGCAAAGTTCGGATCTGTCCACTGCTGAGGAATAAATCAATCCCCCAGAAATGGATATGAGCAACAAGAGATAGCTGAGTTTGTTCTCCTGCATCCCAGAGGGCAAGTAATTATCTCCATAACTTTCCATAAATAACTTCCACAGCTACCTTACACTTTCAGGTGTCAAAAACTAATTATGCTCAGGAGCAAAACAGCACAGGACGGCAAGAAACCAAGTGAAGGGCTTGTTGAAGCCCGTGGTGCCATCCAGTTCCTCTGCTTCTACCTCCCACTGCGCTCACAGTGCTGGTCCTAGTGGAATTCCAGCCAGGGAATGGGGGCAATCTGCTTCAGTTTCAATCAATATGGGGAAGCGGACTGGGGTCTGAGTCCTGAGGTGCCCAGTGCTGTCTCCTCACCCTGTAATCATTTAGAAGACCAGCCTGAGAGCGGTGGTGGTGACACGTGGCAGGTCACACCCTTGGTGTCTCCCATCCCAGGAGGGCATCCTGTGTTATGGACCCTGCAGGGAGCCTCTACTCCCTTCCACCTTCCCCCTCCACTTTCCTCCTCTGCAATCACATTCTCTCTCCTCTTCCCCAGGACCACAGTCCCCCATGGGATGCCATGGTGGGACCCACAGGTCACCTGGCAAGGGTGGGAGTCACCCCCTGCAGCTGTGGGAGAGCATCCACTGCAGCACTGGCTAAACGGAAAGCAAACCCACAGCAGGGATGCTGAACCAACCCCTGTCTCAGTTCACCAACAGAAACACCCACACAGTCCTGCTAGCACTTTTTGGGGTGCTGAGCCCCTGGCACAGGTTGCCCAGAGAAGCTGTGGCTGCCCCAGCCCTGGAAGTGTCCAAGGCCAAGTTGGAGAGGGCTTGGAGCAACCTGGAACAGTGGAAGGTGTCCCTGCCCATGACAGGGGGTGGGACTGGATGGGCTTCCAACCCAAACCATTCCAGGATTCTATGAAATCTTCATGTCTGCACCCAGTCATGCCAGTCACCCAGAGCCTTTTGCAGCACAGTACCTTCTTTTGCCAAAGGGGCTCAAATATTTTAGGATAAAGGGAAAACAAACCCCACAACTTTTCCAGCCCCCGAAACAGCCACCTTATGTGTGAGTGCTAAAAATAACCCTGTCTCCCTGCTTTGAGCTGCTAATTAGCAAATGGCATCCCCTGGCCTCATAATTTAAGGGAGGCACATGATGGAGGGTCAGTCCGAGCTGGTTTTCCAGGCTGGCACATAGGGTGACATTCCATGAGCACATAACTCAGCGGTTAAATAACTGGGAGGGCTCCCCTTTGCTTTAGAAGAGGATGTGCCCCAGGATTGAATTCCCAGGGGATAATTGACACAGCTGCAGCTCTTCAGCAGGGAGGTGGGGAGAAGGGAAGCCTTGTGTTTTTAGTGAAGCTAAGGGCTATTTTTTTTTATTCCTATAATTGATGGGAAAGGAGGAGGAGGAAAATTGTGCACAGTTATGAGAACTGGAAAGAGTTTTGGGGCTTTTTTCATTGAATTATTTACATCTGACAAAGAGGGGCCACTATAAACTAGCGTAGCACAGACCTTTTCCATATTATATAGAGCTGTTAAAGGGAAATGTTTAAATATTATCTAATTTCCAATAAAAACTGGACAAAATCAATGCAGCCTCGGGACAAGTTTATATTTCACTGGGCAGCAGTTTTCAAAGAAGAGCTGAGCAGTAGCAGCCCAGACATCTCTGCTCATGCAACTGCACCTGCAGAAGTATTTTTAGGGGAGGTACAAAGTGTGACTCCCCTCTCCCCAGGCACAGGGACGTGTGTCCTGGCAGTCCTTCATCCCATGGCCTGACCCAGCCACATAACTGGGCAGTGCTGTCACATGGAGCTGGAAATATAAACGTGGGGACGAGTCAGGGGCAGATTGGCTGTTTGCAAGGTGGCACCTGGCTCAGAGAGAGGAAACTGGACCTCACACCCTGACAGGGATGGTGATCCAGGGAGGATGAGCGAGCATCACCCAGGAGAGGCACCCTCACACCCCTCCCAGGTAGGCTTGGGCAGTGATGGCTCATCTTGTGGCGTGGTGGCATTGCCACCTGCATGGACACCTCTCAGTCCCACAGCCACAGGGTGCCAGGGGGACACAGCCATCGCAAGGACCCCATCTGAACTATGGGGGGCAGGGGGTTATTAAGAAAGGGTACAAGCTTTAGGCTGAGGAGGTAGTGCCACAGGCTGCCAGCCTCAGGCTCCTGCACCACGCTGGAAATTTCCCTGGAAAAATCATACTGATACCATTCCCCACTGCCAGAGGGCAGCTGTAAATGGAGGCAGTGGTGCCAGGAGCTGTGCCCACCGGCACACCTGCACTCACCGCGTGGTTTAAGGCAACCTCGTGGGTTTTTGGAACCAGCAGGGTCAGTTACTACAGGCTGAGATCTTCCTGGAGCAAGGACTAAGTGCAGTGGCAGCTGAGCCTGGGGAACAAGCTGGTGCTGAAGCCGTTTTGCTGCTGTGTATCGTGCTCTTGCATGTGCCAGGAATGAGCTTTCCTTGTAATGTGAAGCCAGCGCAGACAATTTAAGTCATTATTAATAGATACACTTGATCTGAGGAAGGGAAATGCTTAATGTTTTGTTAAATGAGGTGTGCTCTGCAAACAGTGGAATGCAGGGAGAAGGTTCAGATGCTCCCCCCACATTAGAGATTAATGAGTGCAAGGCCACCACTAACAAAGTGCTCATCCTCACCCATATCTGGGGCTCTGGGCTGTGCAGGAGCATCCCTTCTGAAGGAAGGACACAGCAGGATGATCCCAGGCTTAATTTGTTGCAGGGAAATGTTTAAATATTAAACATTTAATATCCTTTGACCCTCAGGAATGCTGCAAGCCCAGGTGATGTGCCCAAGGCTGTGCAGCTCACCAGTGTCAGGGGAAAGGCTTGAGGGCTTCCAGCCTTTCTCCACCACCCAAAATCGTTACCTAAAGGCAACAGGTAGTTTATAAGCAGTTGAAACCCCTCCATTTTTCTTCTAAACCCCACCAGGGACCGTCTCCCCCAGCTCCTGGCCAGCCCCAGGATGCCCCACAGGTGTCCTGGGTGCCATCTCCTCTCTGCAGTAAATCACAGCTGCCTGTGCAGACATATTCCCCTTAAATCCACAGCAATATTGCTTCATCCTGACATCACTCTCCACTCCTGGGTGGAAACAGCACTTGGCTCAGCTGGCAGGAGCCCAGGCTCGTGAGGGTTTATGTGCCACTCAGCTCCAAGGGGACTTTTTTTCTCTACTCTTGCTGGCCCCGACTATTTTTAACCCCCTCCCTCAGCAACGCTGTTAATCCTGTCGTTACCCCGACCCAGGATGTGAGTGATATGTGTAAATCGATGCTGATTAAAGGGTTGGTGAGAAGGGCCACAGGGTGTTTCAGCACACTCTCAATGGCAGTTTAATGCCAGACACACACATACACACTTACCTAGCAAAATTAGCCCGGGTTTGACTGAGAAGGTCTGGGCTCCCTGCTAAATATAGCCAGGGAGGTGATCCCTGCCGTGGGAGGGTGATCCTTTGGCATGAACAGGACATATGAAGGCAAGATTCCTCTTCATCACCTTGAAAATATTATAGGGTTCTTAGTCAGAGGAGAGGAAAAGCAAGGCAGGGCTGTGGAAACACAACCCAGGACAAGTTCCTGAGGAAAACGATCCCTGTCTGTGCCGCTCCCTGGGTCTCCAAACCTCCCACGCCAGCTGAAGGACCCTGGGGGATAAAACATCCCGGAGGATGTCTTTCATACCAGAGTAGTGACTCGAGGAGGTGGCTTAGCTAATACCAGAAGGGGGAATGGGCACAGAAAGGCTGGGTGTAGCAGAATAGCAACAAGTGGTACAGGCAGAGAGAGAAATGAGGGAGTTTGAAGGCTACAAACCGACTGAGCTGTTGTGGGCAGCCAGGTGGGAATGCCAGCCTTGAGATCAAGGGGAAGAGAGGAAAAAATGGGGAAGACCACTTAGGCTGATCTCAAATTAGCTCCCAAAGCTGCTTCCTGTGAATACGGACCTCAAGGCAGGGGGTTCTTCACCAAGAATCCCCAGTCAGACCCCTCTGGCTCAGCACAACCCCATCCTGGATGGACACACTGTGGGGGTTTTGTGGCTCCACGCTCTTCCCACAGTCTCCAGAGCTGGAGATGGATATCACCACAGCCATGCCGGGGAAACCCCGAGAGAAACCTCAGGTGGCTCTGGCAGCATGGGTATGCTGGCCTGGAGTTGGCACAGAGATGCTCAGGATCACCAGCAAGGTCCCAAACATTTCTTCCAGCCTCAGGCTGAGTCCATATGGAGGGAACCACACAGCGTTCCAGCAGTCCCTCCACCTCTGGTTTAATGTCTTCCCAAAATCTGCTTGTACCAGGTTTACTCTGCAGAGAGGTGGGTGGGAAGGCTGGGAAGGGGAGGTTGTGTCATCCAGAGCCTCCAAGTCACAAGATGCCAAGCTCTATTCTCGTCCCCACCATGGATTTCTCCTGTGACCTTGAGGGAAGGAGCCCACAAGCTGCAGGGCAGCAGGAGCTGGGAATGCTCTGCTGGCATCAAATGGCAGGAGAGTCTGGGTGCTCTCCCTCTCCTATACAAGGCACTGTCTGGGAGAGCAGCTTCCCCTACCAAAGCCCCAGGAGGATTTGTACCTCGCTGGTCTTTACATCCCTGCAATGACCCCCCAGAATTCCAGGCTGGGCCAGTAACACGTTGCTCAGATTTTTCCATATAGCAACCCCAAGACTGGAAAAGCTTAAGAGAACCTTAAAGAAAAAAAAAAGTAGAGTGTTAGGCAGAGAAAAAAACACTTCCCAGAGGTCAGAGGACACAAATAAGGTTATATGGGGAGGGGCAGACAGCAATTGACTCAATTTCTTTGTTTGTTTTTTTACTTCCCTAAACACCAGGCACCGTTTTCTCGCATCCTGCGAATAAACCAGCAATTTAATCCAAGTGGTGCTGCTGCAGCAGGGCCTGGTGACCGTCTGACCCTCATTGTACCCCCTACCCATCAGCATCCCACCCTGCTGGAGTTATAAATATGACACAATAGAGCCTTAACTGGATTATAATTAGACAATGAGCCTGGGAGGACGGAAACAATGAACTATATAAGCCTGTCTATCCTCCCAGCCAGGACCTGCACACACGGGAAACACTGGAATGGGCGACTCACCAGGACCTGCAGTAGGAAAGCTGCGGATTTCCTCCCAGTTGGATTCGGAGCATCCTTTAACAGCTCATGTTCCTGTCACCAGGTTTTACACAGCCCTGGTCACGGGAGACCTGAGGAGCCTCGAGGTCCTGACTGACCGATACCATCAAGATGTCAACCTGGTTTTTGAGATCAGTAAAAATGAGCTGGAGTGGCAGGTGAAAAGCCAAGCGTCTTATGGACTCTCAGGTACTTTTCCTTTAAAGGCCAGGCCAGAAGAAACTTTAAAATGGGTATTTACTAACCCTAAATAGAAGAGCTGCGGCACATTTAAGTGCCTTAAGTGTTCCTGAGGTGGTTGGTTTCTGGTTAGCTGGCCGTGCCTGCAATTTTAACCATAAATATTCATCATTTTTAATATTTCCTTCTCTTCCGCATATACTAACCCACCAGAGGGGCAGGGAACTGTAAAATCTGTGCATCCACACGATTTTTTCAGGTTGGGATTAGACACTCTGTGGCTTGGGAATGTTTGCAAGAGGGGTCACAGCCCAAATTCCTCATGGAGGGGCTCAGGAAGAGCAGCCTGGTCCTATGGGGGAGGAATAAGATGTTCCCAGGTTAGTGGTACCTGGTGCCTTCCCCACTGAGGTGCTGCTCAAAGTCCCAGGTGCTCCCAGAGCACCATGCTCAGTAGATTACTGATGGTCCCAGAGGTCCTGGAGCTGATGGGAAATGCAACACCTCACTCTAGCTGTGCCCAAACCCAACACATCCCATGCCCAGCCCTGCATCACCCTCCCAACATGCTCCCACCTGGCTTGGGTGCCTTCATTCCCAGCAAAGATAGCTTTTCTCTCCCTGGGGAGTCGGTGAGCTGCCTTTTAGGCACACAGAGTGTCTCAGGCAGCTGGTTGCAGTCAGGGTGTTGGCTTACCCAGCCCGTGCCCCATGAAATCCTGCTCCCGGACATGAACACACCCAGGGAATTTTGCTTCCTCCCGATCCTAGCAGCCCCCAGGTGTAGCGAGGCCCTCTGGAGCGCCCAAAGGTGCCTGGGAGCGGAGGGAACAGGGGGCAGAGCGGGGTGTGGAGCTGGCCCGGCCCCAGGGCTGGCGGGCAGGGGGTGGCAGCCTGCGGTGACCCCGGTCCGTGCCCCCGCAGGGCTGTGGGCGCTGGAGCGGCGCTGGGAGCGGAGCACCCCGCTGTGCCTGGCTGCCCACCACGGCCACCCCGCCGCCCTGCGACACCTGCTCCGCCGCCACGCCCAGCCTGACCTGGCCCCGGGCRCGCAGGGACCCCTGCACGAGGCCTGCCGGGGGGCACACACCGACTGCGTGGAGCTGCTGCTGGAGTACCGGGCGGACCCCAACCTGCAGAGCGAGGAGGGGCTGGCCCCGCTGCACCTCTGCACCACCTGGGACTCCCTGGGGTAAGGAGCGGGGCTCCCATCAGCACCCCCCCCCCATGCCGTGCCTGGAAATCCTCAAGGTCGAGTTGGACGGGGCTTGGAGCAACCTGGCACGACAATCGCGCTCGCGCACACCACAGGTGTCCCTGCCCATGGTGGGGGGGGGGACTGGATGAGCTTTAAGGTCCCTTCCAACCCAAAACCATTCTGGGACTCCATTCACACACCCCAGTGGTGTTGCCCATGGGGTGAAAGAAAGATGCCATGATCCATGACAAGGCTTCCCACATGCTCCCACATGTTCCAGCTGCATCAGCAGAGACAAAAAAAGGATATTTTAGTGCCAGGCTTGTTGTACAGCCCAAGTCTCCTTCCCACGGACAGGAGCAACCCAGCCTCACGTGCCTTTTCTCCCTCCTCTGTCCTATTTGTCCTGCAATCAGTATGTTCCACATCCCAGGTCCAGCACACTCTCCCCAGGAGATGCTCAGGATGGTTCCAGCCATGGGGCACACATCATCCCAACCTCCTGTGCTTTTCCTTTTTTTTTTTATAAAGAGCTCCGTCACTTGGTGTCCTGATGGAACTGCTTAGGGCCATGGTGAATTCCATCACCTGTCAGCTTCCATGGAAAGCCATCCTGGCTTCAGTCCTCTTCCTTCAATCCTTCAGGCAACAGATGGTGAAAGCAAAGTTCCCACTGCAGATCCAACACATCACGGACCAGGTCACAGGGAAAGTGCTCTGAAGAAGGAAAGCAACCAGAGAGGGAAAGATCTGCAGATTTGCAGATGCAAATATCTTGATCCCATCTTGTAAATAAGAGTCTCTGCAAGATGGTCAAAAATCAAGTACTAATCAAGTTTTGATTCAGCCAAAAATTTAGGGGTGAATCAAACACATCCTTGGTGTGATGAGGGTTGGAAGGAGCAGGATAGATAAGGGAGGATGCTACAAGAAGCCCTCATTGTTAATGAGGAGCTGGCTTTAATTCCTTCACCTGAGCTCCCTTTAGACCTTAAAGTTTCAGTCTCCAGACTCCAAGCCATCATAAATTCCCTGTGATTCCACGATTTTAGGCTTCACCAGTCTGCTCTCCCCCCGAAGGGATGGGGCAACCAAACCAACTGGTGTGTGGAGAGGATCCCAGCACCCACAGATGTCCAGGTGTCCTGGTTTTGGCCAGCTGATTCCAACCTTGGAAAAAAAAATCTGTCTCTATAAAAAATGAGCCGTTGCCACCAATTTGCATGTTCTGTTCCCCTGGAAGCTGGAGGGGGATGGCAGGTGAGGCAGCACATGGCAACACGGGGATCAGACAGAGCCAACGTGGAAACAGCTGAGTTATAAAGCCCTTGAATATTGGGGCTTTATAATGGAAATGCTGAGAGACCCTTAACTACGCCCGGCGCTACAGGGGCTTCTGCAATAACTAAGCCAACTCCCTTGAAAGATCAAAAATTAATAGACATTTCAGACAGGTTTTGAGGTTTCGACCACTGCTTTTCAGTCGCAAAGACTTTGCTAAAGTTAGAGACTGAGGAGGTCAAGCTTTAGGTAACACAAACATTTCCTCTTTGATTAGGGGGAGACTACTTTACCTCACCTTCTTTTTTTTTATTTTATTATTTTTTTCGTTGAGTAGTAGATTTTAGGTCATCCTTAATTTTTTACTGGCAATAAAGAGCAGGTCATTGACCTACATAGAGAGCTATTTTATTTTTCTCCCTCTCGATAACAATGGCCAGAACACCTATGTGCCAGGTTCTTCTGTATTCCCATATACTCGGCAATTCACCATGGGGGCAGGACTTAAAACCTTTGAGCCTCTCAGTGACTGGGATAAAAAAAATTATCTGGGCTTCCTTCCAGCCATTTGAGCTTCAGAATCCATGAGATTTCAACAAAAAGGATATCAGAGCTTTAATCTAGGAGCTTTTTGAAGAGATGGAAAAAAAAGTTCCAGTAAAGTTCAGTCTTACCTTCTTCACTTTAGGAGCTGTTCATGCCAACGTCGGCCTATTTAGTAGAGTTCCTCTCCTTGACCTCTTTTTTACAGCCGAGATAATTAACATGGTGGGGTAAGATGAGTCTCTAAATTCACTGCACTCTCTCCCCAGCGCTCTCCCTTTTTCCTCTTAAAGCTGGGATGATTAAAGGAGTCTGCCTTTATTGGCACCCCGAAAAAAAATAAAATAAAAATAATTGAGGGGGAGAGGAAGAGTCTCGGCGGTGCCAGGGAGGGAAGAGCAGGCGTGGGGTGGTGGGAAGGCACGTGGCAGGGATGCAGGATGTGACTCCCACCTCCCATCACGGTGCCCACTGAGGAAGAGATGCCAGACACCACCACATCTGTGGAGTCCTCTTTCAGATCTGGGAGTCTCCCCGAACATCCCAGGTTTCCCGTGAGACCAGGTAGAGCCCACCTGGAGAGAAATCCAGCCTTCCACAGAGGGAAGAGGGCTCAGTCAAGCCAAGGGATGGGAAAAGATGTCAGCCCTACCTCCAGGCAACCCAGGCTTATGGCTGAGCATTCACTTCTTCAAGCTTTCACTCCACCCCGGGAGCTGAAACCAGAGTGATCTTCCTGCTCCGAGCCTCCAGCACTGAGGGATGGGGCATAAATGGCGGGATGAGTCCAGGCAGGAGGCCAGTCCAAGGGGCTCTATGCAAGGATTGATGGGGTAGGGAGCGAGCACAAGAGCTGCCAGAGGCAGGGTGGGGTTTGCTTAGGGGGAGTGTTGGATGAGGGAAGCTCATCATGGGAGGAACAGGCAGCAAACGGGAGCCAAGCAGGAAAGCAGGTACTTAAAAAGGCAACATGGTCAAGATAAGGCTCCCAGACACCAGGGAGTTGGGTACAGACTGGTTGGACCAGCTCCGTGGCACTCTCCAGCTATTCCAGCACCATCCTAGACCCACTGTTCCTTCTGGCTCCAGGAAATAAGCATTACTACAAATAAAAAAAAACCACAGAGATTTGAAAAATCAGCATTTAGCATCATCTACGGCTAAACCTCGTCCTCTGCTCTGTTCAGCCTTGCTAAAGACAAAACTCGAGCATTTGGAGCCATTGTTTTGGGAAATCATCCTCCCACTGGGGAAAACCAGCTCCTTCCTGGGTCCTGAGCAAGAAATAAGGAGCCCAAAAGCAGGGGCAGGGCTGATCCTGCTCCCTGCAGGTGTGACAACACGAGGGTTCTTACAGACGAGCCTTGCTCCGACCCCAGGGAGAGGGGGAAAAACAAACTGGAGGCTTTTCCTTAAGAAAACTGGGCATCTGAGTGGGTTTTTGGGACAGGAATTTTCCTTCAGGCTCCGCTGCCCCAACTTCCTGCTCCTCCTGCTGGTCATTCGTAGCATCCCATTTAAAGCTAAATCCCACTTTCACAGCCTGGGTATTTTTCATCTCCACCTGAGCTACAGGTAGGAGCTCTATGGATGGGTGGAGAAGGAAAATCAAACCCAAATCATTTTCTCCCATTTATTTGAGCCAGGAGCTCAGCACAAAGCAAACCAACGCCAGTCACCACGAGTGACTTGCCCAAGAAAAGAGACATTCAGATCTGTTACCCATCACCTGCAAATGAGTTGGGAAGGGTTTGGAAGTGAGTTTAAGTTAGTCATAATTAGGTACCAGGCTGGATGGAAAACAAGCTTGCTTGCTTTGCCACTGTGCCTCTGAACTTCTGCTGAGCTAAACCTAAAACCAGACTAAGTATATTCTTTCAGTATTCCCATAAAATTGGAGAGGAGCCCTTAAAAAAGCATCAAGACATCACTAGGCCTTATCTAAAGGGATTTTAGTCTACTCTGATGGCAAAAAAACCCAAAGAAGTCAGAAATGCTGGTGAAGTGTTAGAGCATCTGAATTCATGCAGAGAGATTTTAAAGGTTAAAAAGAACATCCACCCAGAACCTGCTCATGCCCTGACATCCAAGCACGAGGCACCCTTTCCATCCACCAGAAGAGAACACCTCATATTTATAGTTCCTTACAAACATTCCCTCTTTGCCTAGGGAGGAGCATCCAGGGGGAAAATTCAAAATATAAACTGACTTGGGTTTCTTCCGACAAGTTGGACTTTGAACTTGATAACCAAAAAGAATAACCCCTCAGTTAAGCAGCACCTGGAAAGGATGGCATTTCCACAGAAGAACATTTGGGATGTCTAGCAGGAGGTCAAGAGGAATCAATCTCCCTGTATTGAATTCTCTGCAAGGGAAAACCCCACGGCACAGGGAGAATGCTGGGCTGGAGGGGCTGGATACAGCTCCTGGCTTTGCCAGCCCATGTTGTACCATCCTTTGCCTGGAAAATAAGAGCAGAAGAATATTCTGCTGTCTTACTCATGCAGGTGGAAATCTTCAGCCTGGGCACCCTCCAAACCCAGGGTGATGCTTATGCTCTGGGCACAGCCACCTCCTTGCCTGGGAAGGAGCAGGGGTGTTTTAAGCTTGAGCTATTAAAAAAACATAGAACAAAAGGGGATTTTTCTCATGCACCTGGCAGCTGCATTTTTGCAACCAAGTCAGAAATGTAGTTTTTTTCCATTTTCCCCTGCAGAACTATCCCTTATTTTTCCCTTGAATACATTATTTTCATTAGGTGCCATTATTAGGGTGCCAGAGCTACCTGTGACATTAGGATTAAGCTAATCTGGAGAGGTCCCAAGAGAATCATTATAATTCGGGCTACAAATTCCCTGCTGACAAGGACGGACAAGACCAGTAAATGTGATGGAGTGACTGAGTGATTTGCTCTAATAACAGATCCCCACTGACAAAGTTGTACCCACCAGCAGCAGACAGGAAGCCACCCAAAAACCCTCAGTGAGACAAGCCATTGCTTGAGAAAGGGATTCAGCCTCCTGTAGAGTAAAAAGGGAGTTGTAAAGTAAGGATCTGGTGATTTTGGGGCTGGCACAACCCCACCTTGATCAGATCACCCACAACCACATCCCCAGCAGAGCCCATCCACAGTGGATGCCTCTGGTGAGGACCAGCGAGGGCTGGCACATCTGGGAGCATTACACCTGCCCAGGCTGCAGGAGCAACCTGGCCCCACAGATCCTGCAGAAATTATTTTCCTGGCAAACTCAGGCTTGATAAGCACGAGAAAAGGAGCCCAAGGAGGTATTTGTAGACCCTGCACTGACAAGGACAGTGGACGTCTCACCAGCTCCCATCAAATCATGGGGGAGGTGATGCTGCAGGTCCACAAAGAGTCAAATGTATTATTATTATTATTATTATTATTATTATTATTATTATTATTATTTCATTATTTTATTATTGTCATTGTCCCCCCATATGGTACTATTCATCTGTGCCAGGAAAACCAAACAATATCCTGGCACCGTCCTTCCTCCCTGGGGCTCCTCTTCTTTCCTATCCCTACTACTGGAAGTACCAGGCTGGGACTTCCCTCCCCCCTCAACTCCCATCCTTTATTTCTGTGTCAGCCCAGAAGTTCACTCAGGGCTCTGGTGACACCTGGGCTAAAAGAAAAGCTTATTAGAGGAAAATTAAAGAGACAGGGAGGGCTTAAAGGCTTGTGCTCCTCCCTAGACTCCAGCCAGCCACTGCTGAGGCTTCCCAAAGGATGGCTCTCCTCACCTCCCTGGCAGCATCTCTCGGGAAACACGAGCTTGCACGTATTCAAGGTCCAGCTTAGCTGGCACGTGCGTCTGCCCCCTCCAAAAATCCCCCCCTCTGTGCCACAGCAAGGAGCTCAGCGCCGCGAGTGACCCCGGCTGCCGACAGCCCTGCCCGGGCGGTGACATTGAGCCGCGCCGGCCCCGGCGGCTCCCGGCAGGAGAGGGAGCAGTCACTTTGATTCATTCAGACTGCCCGATCACATCCGTTTACTCACACACACACCGAAAAAAATAAAATAACCCCCCATCAGGGCATACCAGCCGTCTGTAACCCCCATCCACTGTCAGAAGGATGCAGGCAGAAGGCTCTGATGAGAACTGGTGTCCCCACTTTGCAGCAGCCACGACCCCTCTTTGCACCCAGGCACGGTGATGTTAGAGGGGGGATTGCTTGCCTTGATTTAGTCCTCCTGGGAACTGCAGGTGCTGCTGCTCCTTCATCACCGGGTGCCAAACAAGCCACCAAAACTCATTTCTGCGGAGTTAAACCATGTGCAAAGGTGTTTCTTTTCAGGGTAGGCAGAAAACCAGGACCAGGACTTCAACTCCATGATCCTTATGGGTCCCTTCCAGCTCAGGATAGTCTATGATTCTGTGAAACACAACCCTGCAGTCCTCTCTGGGGCAGGAGCCCAACACAAGTGTTTGGGTCTGTTAAAGGGAGAAGGAGAATCCATTTTTATACCCAAGTAAGTGGGCCTAGGAGGGTGGGACTCTGGTGGGTCAGGGGGGTCAAGGTGGTCAAGAATGGTCAAGGTGGTCAAAGATGGTCAAAGTGGTCAAGGATAGTCAATCTGGTCAAGGTGGCCAAGGACAGTCAAGGCGGTCAAGGATGACCATTCACGAATGATGCTGGTCAAGGGCAAGAGGGACACATTGCCCAAACCACCGTTGCCCCCACTGTGGAGGGCACCAGG